AGAAGACATGCCAAATAAAATTTGTTAACCTATTAACCTTGTAGGGCCCAGAGGAGTGAGCTAGGGACGGATGCTCAGAGTATACTAAATTTATGAAGGAAACACTTTTCCAGCCTGCTGAATGAGAGTGAAATTAAAACACCCCGAGAAGGTGAACCCGAAACTCCAATTAATGATGATGGAAAATTTGTTCCATTTCCCGACTAAGAAGAAGTCCGAATAGCAATCGCCTGCTTAAAAACAATAAAGCGGCGGGAACCGATGAAATACCGGCCGAACTATCTTAATATGGCGGTTAAGAACTAATCAAGTGCATGCATCAGTTTATTTGCAAAATATGGTCGGATGAAAGCATGTCCGACGATTGGAATTTAAGTGTGCTCCGCCCAATCCACAAAAAGGCGATTCCACAGTCTCCGCCAACTACTGTGGAATAAGCGTTCTTATCATCGCATGGTTCTATCAAGCGTATTGTCAGAAAGTCTAAAGGAAAACACCCATGAAAAGAAGATCTACTCCCACCACCTTTTCGTCGATTTTAAAGTAGCATCGACCGTACGAAAAGGAGCTGCCTATTTATCGCCTGAATTTGGTATTCCCGCAAAACCTAAACGGCTGTGTAAACTGACCTTAAGCAGCAATAAAAGCTCCGTTAGGATCGGGAAGGACCTCTCCGAGACGTTCGACACCAAGCGAGGTTTCAGACAAGGTAACTCTTTACCGCGTGACTTTTTTAACTTGTTGCTGGAGAAAATAATACGAGCTGCAGAGCTGAATAGAGAAGGTACAATATTCTATAAAAGTGTATAGCTGCTGACTTATGCCGATGATGTCGACTTTATTGGCCTCAACAACCGCGCCGTGAGTGAGACTTGATAAAAAGCAAAGCAAATGAGTCTGGTAGTGGATGAGGGTAAGACGAAATATCTCCAGTCATCAAACATACAGTCATCGCTCTCGCGACTCGGCTCTCACGTCACTGTTGGCAGTCATAATTTCGAAGTAGTAGATAATTTCGACTATCTAGGAATCAGAATTAACACCAATAATAACGTCAGTCTTGAAATCCAGCGCAGAATCACTCTTGCTAGCAGGTGGTACTTTGAACTAAGTAGGTAATTGGAAAGTAAAGTCCTTTCTCGGCGAACGAAACCCAAACTCTACAAGTCGCTCGGGTATGATGAGTCCTACTATATGGCGCAGAAACGTGAACGATGTCAACATCGATGCAGTACCCGCTGGTGGAAATAGGGGATGAGGAAGACCTTCACTCTTTTGGAAATATCAGATGGAAAGTGACCTAGTATTTCCAACTGGCGCCAGGCAGCGAAAAGAAGAGAGGAATCGTGCGCTAAGATTGATTCGGCTATAATCGCGTAAGCAGCACCAACGCCAATAAAGAAGTAGATGATTAGTTTGTTTCCCTAATTAAAATATTAATTTCAGCGGGCTTTGTTACCTCTTTGAACGAGGGAAAGGCACTCTGCCAGTTTTTCCATCATAATGTGGTTTTATTTATTCCATCATCCTTTTGCTTAGCTTAATCCTGACTTGGCTCCTCTCAATTAACTCTACTTTGCAGTTTATCTGTCTACCTTCAGAGCAAGCGCTACTCAAGTAATGCAGAGACTGCTTGGTTCAATTTGCTGCTTACATTAATCCACAGGTTGAAGTTAGAGGGAATTTGCATTCTCAGGTAATTTTATTTAGTACAGAAAACCCCATACATTTTTACTCATTTTCAGTATGGATTGGAACTCAAGCAGTCTTAAGACACTTGCTGCCACTCCACTGCTTTAAATAACCTTGGTTTTCCATAAAAAAAAATTTATTGAAACAAGAACAGGTGTTCAATCTGTTCCATTCAACGACAGATTGGAGTAATCCTAATATTGAAAATTTTTCATATCGTGCAGTGATTAGATTCTTTGTTTTGAAAGGCTTGAAATCATAGAAAATTTACGAAGAAGTTAGAAGTGTATAAGAAGAACTAATCTTCAAAATGCACCATTCAATTTCGGGCTGGTGAATTTAAACGTGGTCGTCCTAGGCTTGAAGACGATCTACGCCAAGGACGATCAAAAACCGCAAACTCGCCAGAAATTATTGGGTGCGTTCAGCGAAGTGAGCGCTCAGTAAGATGTTCAATGAGTGCTTACCATATTTGTGAGCGTAAAATTTGTATGCTACTTGCTACTAATCGTTGTATGCAGGAAAAATTAATCACGAAACTTTAAATGTATTTTTACTTAAAAATGCTTGTGACGACAATTTACTAGATTTTTTCGGTTGTCAAATAGATTTAGCAGCGCTATCTGCACTAGATAAACATTTTTTCAAAGAAAGGTATTTAAAAGAAAGGACCAAACACTTTTATGAAAAAACTGTGCCACTTCACAATTAATTTCGGCAGTTGAAGTATTGTACCATTGCGTTCTTGAAAATTAATCGCTCAGTATAATCGCTCACTGAACATATTCACTGAGCGCTCAGTTCGCTGAATGCACCCATTGTTATTGAAGATCCAAGCTTGACTAAGCGTGAAATAGTTAATACCATAGGCATCTCAGACGAACGAGTACGTCATACTTTACATGGAGTGTTACATATGAAAACGCTTTTTTGGAAAGTTAACAATTCAAAAACTGGATCGAAAAGAAATCTCTGAGAGCATTTTAAGCAAAATCTTGCGTCGCTTCAAGCTATTGATGAGATTGGGATCTACCACCGTAATCCTGAATGGAAACAAGAACATTTACAGTGGACTGAAGCTGGTTGTCCGGCTTTAAAGCAGGTGAAGTCACAACGATCAGCAAAGAAGTTATGACAACAGTTTGTTGGGATGCAAAAGGAATTTTGATGATTGATTATTTTCCGAAAAGTAAAACAATCAACCCTGAATATTATTGCAGCCTTTCGAATTAGCTGGATTAAAAAATTCGCGAGAAAAGATTTGGCTTGCAGCACAAGAGAATCGTTTTTAATCGAAGCAATACACCTTCTCTTAAAGGTGTTTGCGCAATGACAAAATTCAACGAATTAAATTACGAATTGCTTAACGAATATTTTGCAGAGCTTCCGGAAAATAATTATAGGGCTGACATAAAATTACAGTAGGATCATTGGAATAAATGTTTTGAAGTTAAGGGAGATTAATGCACGAATTGCATGAGCACCCGCCGTATTCACCAAATTTGGCTTCCAGCGGCTACTAGCTTTCAGAAACCTGAAATAATTCCTTCGTGGAAAGCATTTTTAGTCGAATGAAGAAGCTATTACGGCCGTAGACGGGTATTTTGCAGAACTTTGGCATAAGCGTTTTGAAGTTAAGGGAGAATATGTTGAATAAAAAAAGATATTTCGTAGCAAAAACCGTATTTTTCATTTCGTCCGCAGAAACTCTTCCGCCAACCTGCATATGATGCACTCATGTTTTGAAAGTTGTATTTTTAATATTTTTACAAAGGCGACTTTTGTCGACCGGTGAAATACTTTAGCTAGTTGATTTTCTAGACGATTTTTCACTAAATTTTCCGAGGTAGCTAAAGATCCATTTTGAAACAAAATTATCCAAAAATGTATGAAAGAAAACTAAAAAAATATATATATGTTTTATTTATAATGAACCGGCATATTCCGGAAGCTTGCAACACAGTGAGTGTTTGTACAGCCACTACAACATATTTAGTTACCAATTTACATGGATGATAAAAAATTTTACCACCACTCTCTCTTGCACCATGATTTTTGTCTGTTGCTCTTTATTCATTTTCATTTCTTCCGCATTTTTTCCGGCTCCTACCATTGCGTTAATAAATAATGACATTCATGGAAGTTAAGTTGTTGCAACTACGTATTATTTTTTTTTTTGTGCAGTAACACCAGCAGTAACAACAACAACATAATACTAATAACAAACGTTAAAGTGGAAAAGGCCATGTCGTGTGGCATGACTGTTGCTGGCAGGACAATGACTTCAAATACGTCACAAGTGCGTTGCACTGCATGCAATAAAAGCGTGTAAGAAAATATATATGTACATGTATGTTTATAGAAAAATCTATTTATGTGTGTGTAGTGTATATTTTTTTCAAAAGCACTAGATATAATATATAACTATAATATGAACCGTGAACCCGCTGCTACAACCTTTTGCAGATTGTCAATTGTGACATTAGCAAAGACTGGTGATGGTGATGGTTTTCTACGCATGTGAACGAATGGACGGACGCCAGTCAACTCACGTGCTCCACATTCAATCTTATTCAAAAACGTACATATATATGTAGGTGTATACTTATTATTCAACGGTATTAAATTCCAACAAAATTTTAAGCATATTAAACTCATTTCCGGGCATTTCATGATGAGCTTTTTCGTAGACGCTTAGAAGCTTTATGGAAAGTTTAGAGAAGAAATCTTTTGTCTTAGATCAACTAAAGATTTAGTGAAAGCTGCTGACTGTAAGCAAAAAAAAAAATAGTTCACTCCTCCACAGCAGGAATTCGGTAGGTAATAGAAGCTCACTACTTATAGACATAATCAAACATCTACTACGACTTTCAGCCCCCTCACGTCTCGAGGACTCATTGGGAAACAGCTTTTTAACAAAACCGTAACGAACTCTAGAGCTAGGCTTCCACTTAAAATTGATAAAAAATGTCTATCTTTCTGGGCAAGCAACATCCACAAGAGATCTAATCCCATTCCAAATCGTTAAGTGAATATTTCCAGGTCTAAGACTATGAGTGTTTTCGAGCACTTCGGAATTCAGGACTTGTTCAGATCATGAGCTTTCGGTGAGGGTCATGAGTTTTGTTTTTTACAATCCTATTAACCCCAAAATAGTTAGTAATGAAGCTAGGTAATTTTCAGATTATGTTTAAACACTTTTTTGAAAGATGAAAGCAACCCCTTTGTTTCTCAAGCCGACTTATGTGATTTTCGCAATATTATTTTCATTTCTTCAGTAACTATCTACAGCTATTTCTTGCACTTACCTCGCACCTGCTGGTCCTTTGACACTTTTTCTCTCCTCATCATCTTTTTCTGCCTCAATCGAGTCCATTTTACGCATCGGTGGACTACTCACCAATGGTGGACTGTATACCCTTGGTGGACTGGTCACCTTCGGAGGACTATGCATTATTGGTGGGCTCTTCATAACTGGTGGTGAACGCATAGTAGGCGGTGAGGGCATCACCGGTGGTCGATCACCTTCGGGAGGACTCTTCATCATAGGTGGTGATGCGCTATGCTTTGATAATGAAGATTTTACTGAACCTGGTTGGCTGCGTATTGATTTTATAGAAGTTTGCGGTGATGTAACTGCAGCCACTGATTTCACTGCTGCTACTTCAACTACTTGCTGTGAACCGGATGCAACCGATGCAGCCGCTGATGCCACGGATGCAGCTGCTATACTACCAGCACGTGATGCAATGCTACCGCGCACGCTACCGCTGCGACTAGCATTACGACTACCACCGTGACTACCACTATGACTGCCACTACGACTGGCACTACGGCTCGGTCCACGGCTGCCGGAACCGCTGCCACCACTGGCTGTAATACTACTGCGTTTTTTCTTGGGCGAACCAGAAGCTGGTGGTGTTGGTTGTGGCGTGCTGCGTGGCGTTGCTTGAGAGGTGGGTGTGCCACGTGTCTCCACCACCTCGTCGGCTGGGGTGTCTGCGGTTGTGTGATCCTCACTTAGCTGACGCTCCGACATTGGCGTTCTATCACTGAGCACATCCTCCTCTTCAACCGTTTCGTCAACTTCCATAGGTTCTTCTGATAGTTTGTTTGCTTGTTCTTCTACTTCCATTTCTTCTCGTTGCTGATTTTCATCAGGCAACTCATCCTCCATGCCTGGCGGTGGCGGTATATCAGCTAACATCATGTCTGTTTCTTGCTCCATTTCACCTAAATGATCGGCAGGTGGCGCAATAATAGAGGATGCTGAAAAACCATTACTCGGTGGCGTAGTTATCGTCGTAGATTCATCTTCATTTAGTGATTTATTTTCATCGATCATATGATAGGCATTGCCTTGTGTTATGCCCTGTATGAGTTCACAGGATTTCACTTCGATTGCTGCCGCCAATGCGGCGGCAATGACATCACTCGGTTCGCCAAAATCTGGTGGTGGTGTTGCCGGTCCGTCTTCTTCAACGAACTCCCTAGTACGTGGTGGTGTGCCAGTTGATCGCGGTTGAGAGCTTGCTGAGTGCGGTGGTGAGCTGATCGAGCCTTGTGGTGAACCCATCGAACGTGGTTGGGAACTGGTGGAAAGCGGTGGCGAAGCCACGATCACTCGCTGTTGGGAGCCAATCGAACGCGCCGAACTAGCAGGTGAACCAGTGGAACGGGGTGGTGATTGTGGCAGTGGTGCATGTTGTGGCAATGGTGGTGGCGAGTTCGGTTGCGATTGATCACTTTCTGAGGGTGGCGTCAATGGTGGCATTGGCAATTGTGAGTGCATCGGCGGTGGTGGTGGTGGCGAGGCCAACTTCGAAGGTGCCATTTTAGGGCATGGCGGTGGGGTATCCGGTGGTGATGGGGAAGTTGATGGCGACTTAGTGGCCGGTGGTGTGCTGCCAGCCGCTCCCGTTAAGCCTGATCCATGTGCACCATTACCATGCACGTACGAGAAATTCGATGGTAGTGGCGGTAATGGTGGTGGCGGTGTAGACTTATCATCATCTTCTTCTTCCTCCTCATCTACATCGGCATCATCACCCTCATCTTCAGTCTCGATCGGAGGCGATGGTGGTGCCAGCGTGCGTATTGATGGTGGTGGTGTTATCATGGGTGGCGATAGCGGTGGTGGTGGTATCATTTCAAGTACAGATGATGTGGGCGAAGGCGGTGGCGAATCAACCACGGTACCATTGGGTTCTTGTTGTGGTGGCGGTGTTGGCGGTAGATCATCGTGTTCGGTGAGTGTGGGCAACGGTTGACCCTGCATGGCCAATGGTGGTGGCGGTATAAAACCAGCGCCAAGCATAGCTTCGGGCGCTACTATGGGCAGGGGTGGTGGCGGTGCTTGTTGCGGTTCGAGCGGCAAGGCGCTATTGTCTACCTCCTCGATGTCAGAGTCAATACCCTGTGCGAAATCCATGTAAAAGTTGTCACGTGAATCGCTCGAGCCACGACGTAGCTTCAAGGATAGATCAGGTGAACTATCCATGGTGTTGATTTGTTACTGTTTTACCTTAGTTAACCAACACTATTGCACTGAGAAATGTTTTAAATTTTTTTCCAGTTTTTTCCAAAGAATGAGTTAATTTTGCTTGCGCTTTTAAGTCACATAAGAACTACTAACTTTTTTAAATACTTCACAAAGCCATTTCAATTGTCGCTTGAAGCATCAGCTCCGAGTTCAGAGACCTAAAATTGTAGCATAAACACAGAATACTGTTAGACATTTGTTTTATTTATTCATTTTCGTTATTTTTTCGTCTGTTTCCTCAAGCGTGATCACTACGTCACAATTTCATTACACTCGTTGAATTCTTTTTTTCTTCACAAAACAAGTGTTTGGGATGGCCGAACATGTCCTGCATATGTAGCACAGCACTCATACACCGCTCTTAATAGCACAATTTATATTTTCCCTTGCTCCCTGTACACATAATAAGTGTGCGAATACAAATGGCGGCAACAACAACAATAGAAAACGCATTTGTTTTATTACGCGACTGTCAAAAAAATATTTTGAGCCTCCAGGAAGAGACACAAAAATAATGCGTAGCAGGAAATTGAAGCAACAGCAGCCAAAAAAAAAAAAAAATCAGGCGCCACAATGAGTTGAGAAATTCGCGCCAAGAAAGCCCATCCAGCTGGCCATAAACACTCGCACGCGTGCACGAGTGCAGTGCAAGTGCGTACTTTCTTGCTTTCTTGGGGTGTCCAGACAGTCAGACAAGTAATTGGTTTCAATACTGCGCACTTTCGGTTTTACCAACCAAAACCATAATGGAATTGATAGCTGGCGGTTGACTCTGTGCCAACTCGAATGGTTGGAAAATATTTTCCTCAAAGCATCTTCTCGCCGTTAGCAATTGTCTTCTCCCCCAAAGTGGTCATCCCGTGTTTTAGTATATACTTATGTGCGTACGAGTATGTATGTAATATAATCCATTCGATTTTTGGCATTTGTTAAGCCGCTTTTTTGTTTCGCTCTACTGCAAGTGTACAATTATTTAAGGTCGCTAAGTGGAAATATCAATAAGAATTTCATTGCTAATGCTGTCATAAATCTTTAGTGCTTTTGATTATAACGCAGAGGTGACTTAAGAAAAGAAAAAGATTGTCTAAACTTTTTCTCTTGTTATTCACATTTACAGAATTTGGGCAGACTAAGCTCTCACATATATGAAAAGCTTCAAAGAATATAATCTTCTTGTTGGTGTTCGAGCCGAAATTCTCGAAAATCGGTATTTATGATTTCATCTTAATGGAATTAAAATTGCATAACACGCCTGCGTTCGTTGGTAACCTTCAAAAAAATCTTTCCACTGAGTGACCTATGAATGAACTTATTCAAAAAATCTCGAATTTATTGAGTTAGGGGCTTAAGGATACAGGTACTCTAAAGAAAAAAATGGATCCTCTAGGACTCAATAGAGGGCACTACTTATATACGGGTTTTTTAATAGAACCTTCACAGTCTCACCCTCAATTTTCGTGGAGAATCTCGGGCTCAACTATATACTCGTATGGCATTTTGGCAACTTTAGCTTTCTACCATGAACAACCTGACCGATAAATCACTTAGTTTGGGAGGTCCAAAATTAAAAAAAAGTCCTATTGACTCAACACTTGGAATTGGTTCGGTAACAGACAAATCGAACGTAATCCTTCACCAACCTATAAGCAATTAAACTCCGGACTACATATTTGAACATCATCCGCTATAAAGTATATGAAAAAAGGTGAAGGGAAATGCATAATTATTTAAAACTCTCAGTAAATAGGTGTTGTTACAGAAAAGATAGACAGAGGAATTTATACCGGCAGAAGGGCTATAATTAAAGTCGTTGCACAGACGTCTAAAAGGTCGTACAATTCCAAGTTTCTTTATTTTATATTTATAGTTTATCCTAAATAAATGGTAAATTTAAGCTCGATAATTTGGAATGAGCTATTCCTCTTATCAACCAGCTTTCTATGACTATGCATAGTGTGGATTTCATACAACTGAAAAATATTCCAATCGGTTTTACAAGTGAAGAAAATTAAGTAATTTTGTAATAAATAATTTCAAGTGCAGTATTTTTGCCTCTATAAGTCTCTTGAAAGTGAGACGTCTATCTAAGTGTATGCCGAGATATGTAACATCCTTTAATGAGGATCTAATTGAATGTGAGATCATTGTCACCCAAGCCAATCTTTTCGTTGCCTTAATTCCATTTTCTCATTTGGGTCCCGCCTTATTACCAACTTATTTGTTTCTGGGCCCCAAAAAGGGATAACAATGACTTTGAACACCAAAAATTTTGAATAGATGAGATAAATTGAAAACTCAGATATTTTTTGAAAATTTGGGGTTAGGGAGTGTCCATAAACTATGTTCATTTAACTAAAATTAAATATTTTTCAAACTTTGAAGTTGAAAATAAGTGTGAAATAAAACCGCTTTCCATCAGGTATGGGAGAAAGGAGTCAGCGAAAAGGCGATGTTATTCTACATGAAGGGATGGAGGGGATTCGATGGCCCAAAGACCACGCAGTTTATGGACAAACCCTTACTTGTTGGTCACTTTTTTGGTTTTTTTTTTTCTGGAATGTACATAGATGATTTACATAGAAAACTTTATTGAAAGTTAAGGTTCCAATGATTTTATGACCAAACAGAGTCTATGAAATATGCAAAACCTGCTATGCTAATTTGCTTCCCTAACCTATTCTAGTTCAACATCAGGACTCGAAAAGGACTGCTGACATTTTCGAAGTGTCCGAAGATGGGATATTTTAAAAGACGTCCAATAATTATTGAGTACGTCAGTGATTGTTTAAAGCAAAGTTTAGCTATTTCTTTAATATATTTATCAAATCAGAGAGGTATATTGCCTCTTTACCTTTCATTTGCCACGTTGCCCCGGGTATCTTACTGTCCTGTGAAAATTTATTTATATTATGTATTTTGTTAGTGTAGCATTTCGAACAATACCAACCGTTGCTACGAAGCTCTTCTTGGATCTCCTCCCCATTGATAGTACAGGGCTGTATAATGTAACTCGTGCTGCGCTAAAACTCCAAAAAGTATCTAAATAGAAGTAAACCACACATGACAAACCAACATAATAAACAGGTTCCGACAAACAGAAAGAACGTACTGCTGTTTGACCTTCACTGGCTCCACGAAAGACTACTAGGTTAAAGATTAGTTCAAGCATTTATTGATTCGATCATCTTTTATATAATATAAATAGATCAAAATTTGACAACAAGGTCGATAGTGAAATCTACTCAAAGGTGCAAGAGATGAGAGAGTACTTTCGGAACTCACGCCAAAACATTAGTCTAATACAATAATTATCAAGATTTAATGGTATTATCGGTGAATTGTATCTATATCTTCCCGGATAACCAGACGGCACTAGAGCCCTGGAATGAAACAGCCATAATAACATCAGAGACGTTATGGCTAAGAAGGACCAAGTATGGTGATAAAGTATGAGCATTTGCCTTCTACTTTCGCCATCATTCACAGGGTGCTCTCTACTTCTAAACTCAGCATAAGAAAGTAATACAAGACGAAAAAGTGTAATTTAACTGAAGTAAAGCAGACGACATGCAACAAAACGAGCTCAGGAGCATTTTTCTCATTTAAAGGAAAGGAGACGGATATTCCTTCTATGACATCTTCCATTAGGCATACACTCAGAAGGATGTTTCATTAAATGACTTCTGCAGGAGTTGAAGAGGGATGGAAGAACATTAAACCCTAATGCACTTCCTTTGCGAATGTCACCAGTCAGTCAATCTTGGGCAGTTGGTTAAATAATGAGCTTCTGAGCCTTATTTCCTACTCGATCGCATCATTTTCTCAGTGAAGGTTCAGTACCATTTAAAATATCAATTATCAATGTAAAATTGGCATCGAGAACTCCAAAACCTTAACTCCATAGAATAAACTAAAATAATATATGAATTAAATTTATGAAATATTTCCGCCCCACAACTTGAGACACCCCTGCAAATTGTCACAATATAACTAAAAATAAATAAAAACTAAAATAAAAACTCAGCTGGTTTCACAAACAACCGAGTATGCAGTATTTATGGGCGTTTTCAAACCGCACACAACGAGAAAAGAAAGTGTTTCCCAGTCAACCGTATGCAGAACGCCTGCCGCAAGGAGTAAATCAAAATTACGTACATAGGAGCGGTAGGGTGTTGAGTAGGGATGCTAATACTGGATGCACAGAAGTTGAAATCTCTCTCTCTCCATATATATATAATTGTATTTGTTTGTGTATATATATGTGTGTGTGTGTACGCCTGTGGGGAGCATTATTGAAAGGGGCGGCTAACCATTGTTCGATTTGAAAGCCAACGAAAGGGACAGTGTAAGCCATAATAATAACCACTTGACTCCAAACGTGAAATATTCCTCCATACATACATGCACATGCATATAAATATATGTATACTCGTATGTACATACAATACACATATACAAACATATGCAACGAGGCGAAAGTCGTGACCGAAACGAAGCATAAAAGCGGGCGCAGGAGTATTTTGAGTATAATTTTCCATGTTTGCTATTGTTGTTGTGGTTTGTCGTTGATAGGCAAAATGCAACTATGTTGCAAAACGAAATGTTGTAGTTGGACTACATATAGTGTTTCGTCGGTTCGTCGGTAATTATGGTATAGAAAACAAAAAGAGGCTGGCTGGTTGGCTGGATGACTGGATGACTAGAAAAAAAAAACAAAAAAATTTGTTTGCCAAAGGATAACACTTTTCCTGATGTGCATTGTTGTTGCACTTCCCACTGCTTATGGCTGCCTTGTTGCTGTTGCTTGCCGCTGCTATTTTTGCTAGTTTGATTTAAGGTTGGAGCGTGATTGCACTGTTGTTGTTGTTGTCGTTTTTTTTCTTCTTTTTGTTCAATGCCTTTTATTGCTTTCTTTATTTTATCACTTTCAACTTTCTCCCATTTTCCATTTATTTTCTTCTCGTTTTCGCTTTTTTCTCAACGATTATAGCAACAACTCAGCTAAACATCGTAGTAAGCACACATACATATGAACACGCGTTGTTATGTTTCTTACAATGTGCATACGAGTATATTGTACGTATGTATGTACGCATGATTTTCGCCACTGCCCTAACCAACGAGTGTGTATACACTAATTTTTAGGTTTTTATTTTTTTTCATTTCTTTTTAGCACAAACTGCACTTTCAAGAAAAATTTTATTAATAAAATTCATTTGATTTTTGTACGAAATTTCCAACACGAAGCCGGAAAATACACTTTAAATCGCTCTCAACGGTTTTCCGCTTTTTCAAACAACGTGAAAATTCACTTACATTAAACTTATACACGACTAACGGTATTTTTTCATACCCAAAACTCTTGGCCGCCGTCGACACTCCATACAAAATGCGGAAAATTCAACTTTTTTGTCTGCTAATTTTTCACAAAATATAAATTTTATCTCAATTCAAATACGTTTATGTATCCTCCTACTCCTGCGGAGTGTGTGTATGTGTGTGTGTGCGTATGTGCGTAAGTACATATGTATGTGCGAGTATATAGCACAATAGTAAATCACAAAAAAGCGACCACAAAAATAGCAGCGACGCGTGCAAGGAAACTGTGATCCTGCTGCGACAAAACTCAACTATGGAATGAAAGCGCTTCAGTCGCTCAATACGCTAGCTAGAGCAGCTTGTCGGCAAGCAACAACGAAGCGCCTCGGCTGACGAGTCCCCATACAAGTCAAGTTGAGGAGATTTGCGCGCGTACAATAACAAAAATATAGTAGTATCTATCAAACAGCAGCCGAATGGAAGTACCGGAAGCAGCTGTGTGCGTGTGTGTGTGTGAGTGAGTGAGTGTGTGTATGTATGATTATTCTTCGTGTAGTGTGAGTATTGGATTTCCCGCTTCGTTTCCAGGCGCGCGCACATCGAAAGAGAAAAACACAAATCAAAACATACGAGTACACACTGGAAGGAAACGGAAGCGGCCGCTGAGACGCTCGCTCACACACAATACACAGCACTCGCAACACACCGCGGGAGAAGGTAAGCACAAATACTCGTACATTCAGCATATAAAAGTTTATGCTGTTAAACGAAATAAATAAGTGTATGTATGTGTGTATGTATGTACATTCATTTATAATAAATATTATGTGTAGCACACTAGGGCGGTTAATGCCATCGAGCCGCTGGTGACACCATTGGAATTTCTGTTTTGTTGTTTGTTATTATTTTTGCACATCACACACACCGCCTGCTGTTGGAGCTACCCTCACTTTTTTAATTTCTTTACAGATTTTTGCCGAACAGTTGACGAGTACAATCGGCGGCACAACGACTAGGCACTGTAACCGGTCACGGTAGGCAATGAATGAAAGCGCGCCCACTCGCGCTTGTGGTGGCACAGAGAGCGAACGAGTGTGGTAAATATGTATCTATGTATACAAGTGTGCATTTATGTATGAGTATGTAGCTACGCTGCAAGGTGTAATGGAAGGGTTCTCGCTTGCATGTTTGTTTGTTTTTACTTTTCATATGTTTTTAGAGATAACCATACACAAATTAGTGTGTTTGTAAAATATCACGCTGTTTACAGATACTTAGGTAGCTATCAGTTGGGGCTCGTTTCAAGCTCACGCATAACCAAGTCAGCGATCCACCGAGCCACAACCTCAGCATTCAATCATCCATCCAAACATGTTTTAAGAGGAGCGTTGACAGTGATGCTTTTCGCTGGTTGTATGTGCATATGTATGTATTATGTATGCATGTAAATGACGCCAAATTAATTGCGTGTTAGTGTAAACGCATATATGTACATATGTATGCAAATAAACCGTCATACATACTGTTTGTTTCTGTGGAGTTTTTGAATGCTGTTGCACTTCATATGCCCATTCCCGTATTCAGCCATACATATAATACATAAATGCATTGATGTAGCGTGTGACAATCTTCGCTTTTGATAGACTGAATGGCGTCTACTTCCGGTCTGCGCACTTTGAGTTGAGCCCTGAGCTCCCATACTTTTTGCATGTGCGTTTTCAATGCGTGCGTATGTACATGTGTTTGTGCATTGTATGTAAGTGTTGATCGCTTTTGAAATGCAAAGCGTGCTTTATGAAAGAGTGTAAGTGCTTAGTGGCATTAGTATGTGTATATGTATGTGTATACGTACGTGTATGTAAATGTGCTGAGATGCATTCACAATTAAAAATTAAATTTATTTGCAATGAAATTTGTATAATATTTATATAGTATATTCGCTTCATTGCGGCCCTGATTAAGTGTAGAGGTGTGGAAAGCTAAAAAAAAAAAGAAAGAGCTAAAATCTACTTGATTGGTTATTAGTTAGCTGTCTGTTGTCGAGCGAAGTGTCTTTCTAACCCTCCCCCCCAAAAAACCCAGCTCCAAATGCCTGCTTTCACTGTGGCATGCAACACAAAGCCCTACCAACTTTCACTCTAGTCGGGCTCATCACATCTCTTATATCATAAGGTCAGTTTAAACTTTTACGAAAGCATTAATCACCTGAGCAGCAGCTTATTCCCAGATTAGTCACCGTTGTCTTGGATACATTTGTCATCGTCACCAATCCAATTCTCATACGTGGTTTTTAATATATTTTATTGGATTTGATGGGCAATCTTATTTTCGAAGGTCCATGGTTTTTGTGTTTAAGCAAATTTAAACACTTTGAGCCAAAAGTCACTTTGAAGAATCTTCCACTAGCCCTTAAACCGAATTCGCGTATGTGAAAGTTCCAAAGTTCCATCTCTTAGAGCCTCAAACCACAACATCGCATGGCGTGTTGACCTCAACTTGTTACAATTTTATGACTTCTCCACATTTCGAGTAGCAGTAACCCATAAACATATTTGTATGTACCTACCGCATAGCCTCTCAGACTTTTCCGCCGAGCTTTCTCTATAATTTATAATGTGTGTCTTGGCTTTTTTCCACTTAGTGCCTAATGTGAGCCCTACGATGGTGAGTATCAATACTAAACATTTAACCTAGGTTGTTAAAAATACGAGAGTCACGGAGCAAAAGAAGGCAATAGACGGAGTAAGATAGCAGAAAGCGTGATAGCCCCTGGTCGGTTAGAGCCCGGGTCAACTCCGGTTTGTAGAACCGGCTGTCGTGAAAGTCTTTGAATGCTGGAACAATTAAGCACCTACTCACTTAGCCCCCATTCCGCTCTGGTTCACACCCATCCAAACAGCTCGCTTCCTGCACCTTACGTTAGATGAACTCAACGACTTAGACTAGCACCGTCAGCTCCCTAGTGGGGTTGGATAACCGCTAAAACAACAACAACAACAACAGCAAGGCAGTGAAGAGGAAGTGTTGAAATGATTCATGTCGTATTTTTGTATGGAGTTCCCGCTCTATAAATTATTCTGAATTTTCAACCTGACATTATGTGTACAAGCCAGACAGTGACGAGGACGCACCCTCACCAAAATTGATTGATTGGTATGCCTGTCTTAAAAAGGAACTAAACTTCAATAGTTCCCTAGGCAGTTTGCTCTTTTTCCTGGAACCAATCCAATTTCCATCCAGCCAAGCACGGATATTCCCGCAGCTCTCGCTAAAAACCATTATCATGAATATTTTATATTAATTTATATAACAAAAGTAATGGTCCTTTCCTCTTTCCTGGCCGAACTGTGATGTGAACGTTCTGACCAGGCGAATTCGAAGCAACAACAACATAGTCTTTTATCAAATTTTTTTTAGAGAATTAATATTCAAATAAAATTATATCACTTTATAACACATAACTCAATGACAATTTAGATTCACATTAGTTTTTTTCGTTGCGCATCACCTTACACAAAATGCAACCCTACGCTATACAAGAACAAAAACATTGGCACGCTAAAAACAGCTGTTTCTTTTTGACATTTGCCGGCGCCAATTTGCTTACATATTTCGTTTTTATTTACAGCGTCTTGTTTTTTGAAAAACTATACAAAATGAGTGAGAAGACTGAAAAACAATGTCGAGTGCCATGGTAAGTAATAATCAATTAATAGAAAAACATATTTATATCTTAAAACCGTAAACAGGGTGGAGAAGTATCGGCCCACAAAGTTGGATGATTTGATATCTCACGAGGAAATAATCTCGACAAGTAAGCTCACTAGAATATAATCAAAACAATCTAAATTTTTCTAATACCTTCCTTCACCCAACAGTCAATCGCTTCATTGGCCAAAAACAATTACCACATTTGCTCTTCTATGGCCCACCCGGAACGGGTAAAACGAGTACAATACTCGCCTGTGCTAAGCAGCTGTACAGCCCCACACAATTCAAATCAATGGTTTTAGAGTTGAATGCCTCAGATGATCGTGGTATTGGCATTGTACGTGGACAAATTTTGAATTTTGCCTCAACTCGCACTATCTTCAGCGGCACCTTTAAATTGATTATATTGGATGAAGCCGATGCTATGACAAATGATGCACAGAACGCTTTGCGTCGTATTATTGAGAAATACACGGAGAATGTACGTTTCTGTGTTATTTGTAATTATCTAAGCAAGATTATACCAGCGCTACAGTCACGTTGTACGCGATTCCGTTTTGCGCCGCTATCGCCTGAACAAATTTTGCCACGGCTTGACAAAATTATTGTGGAGGAAGCGTAAGTATAATAGCTAATACCGCGTTTTTAAACAAAATTAACACAAACTTATAGGCTGAATGTCACTGAGGATGGCAAGAAAGCGCTGATGACACTTTCCAAAGGTGATATGCGTAAAGTCTTAAACGTATTGCAGAGTACATCTATGGCATTTGATGTCGTTAATGAAGATAATGTGTACACTTGTGTTGGACATCCACTGCGTAGTGATATAGAGCGTACACTGCAAGCCCTACTTTCGACAGAGAGCTTCGAGGAAACTTATGATGGTAAATGATATGAATTTTCAAATAACCAGGTAAATATTAACCTGTTTTGAATATCAAAAATTTTGCGTTTTAGAAATTCAACGCATAAAATCTGTCCGTGGCCTCGCTCTTAGCGATATTCTTACGGAGCTACATTTGTTTGTTATGCGCTGTGAGTTGCTGAAGATTTGAAAACAAATATAATGGAAAAATAATTTTTGTTTTTTTTTTTTCAGTGGAACTACCACCGGGAGTTATGAATAAACTGATTATAAAAATGGCCAGTATTGAAGAACGTTTGGCGAAAGGCTGCACTGAAGGCCCACAAACAACTGCATTGATTGCAGCTTTCTTCATTTGCCGCGACATGGTCGCGCTGGAGAGTTGAATAATTGAGCTGCTACTCAATCTAACATTTGTTATTATCGATAAAAAAAATTTATATATATATACTACTAAGTTAATTTAATATAATCCATTTTTTCATAACTGCTTGTTTATTTTCGTAATCTAAAAAAACATTCTGAACCACTTCTCATTAAGGAAAAGTATTTCCTGCAACAAATAAATTGTAAAATGAAAAATTGAAAATTTTTTTTGTCTGAAATTTGTTTATTTATTTATCTAAAGTAAAAATTAAAAATGTTTCCAATTGTTGGAACAACATCAAGTTGCAGTTAAGCGATTGTAAAGTGCGAATTATAAGCCATACAAACATATATTTATGTACTATAATCTACGCTTTATAGAATGTAAACAGCAGATTAGGCTTTCAAAAAAGATAATTTTCTCTTGCAATCGTTTTTGAACTAAAATATACCCAGTTATTATATTATATTTGCCTGATAGTTGCACAAACATTTGTACATAACCCCATTGAGAGACTCCTATGCCATGCACATAATTGACCCACATATGCTTATCAGTTGTGAACAGTTGCTGGTCAATAGTGAAAAAAGTAGTGTTTTCTTTTAGTTTGCAAAACAGTGGAGAAAAAATTTTCTATAAATAACAGTAAGCTTGCTGGAAAATCCTCTAGTATACGAACTATTCTGGAAATAACGCAAACATAACGGTTTCTGTGCAAAATACGACCTGAATTAAACGCCAAAATTAGCAAAAACAAAAAGAGGATTATAAACATTTAATACTTTCTCTAGCAAATCATGTCGGCAAATACCTAAAGGACCTCAACTAAATTTCCTGATTACGCGCATTTCGAATCGTCATGTGTTATATAATATGTTACAGTGGCTATGGAATTTGTTTAACGGCGACCCTAATTCATGTAAAGATTTAAATTTTTCAAATAAATTTATATATAAAAAGCAACTGGTTTTTTCTAAAAATCAGCGCTCAAAGTAAAATCTAATTACGTGCATACATATACATACATACATAAACTCGTAGAGATTAACGGTGTCATAAGTGTTATAACCACCACCCGGACGAAATATTTTATCTTACAGAAGTGAAAGTTTTTAAAAAAAAATATTCCAAATCGAAGACTGTTTCTATTTTTAGTTGTTCCAATGCACGGCAGACTTGAAGTCGCCGGGAATTGAAATTGTGTTTGATATATCCATGGAATGACTACTTCAAAGGAATTATCCTTTTATTTAAAAGAAAACACAGTAAAGGCAGGTATATGGGCTTTTTTATCACCACCGTAGTCTGTAGTGGACCCTATGAGGTCTTACATATATATATATTAACTGTTTTCGCGGTTGTACCCACAAAAATATACCCCGGATAAAAATCATTGTAGTTCTGGTATAAAGATCCGATTGTGGCAGGATCTTTTGGATTTTAGTCACCTCTTACGACAGGCATGCCTTGCTGCGGGGAAAATTTTTGAACCCTACCACGCAGGGGATTTGTAATTGTTATTGTTGTTGTTGTACTCTTTTTGACCCGGTTTTTATCCGGCCAAAGGCTATCACTCCTTCAGCGATCTAACCCCGTTTAGGTCTGAAATTGATATTAGTTCCGTTTAGTGAGCTGATGGTTGTCTTACTGGCATTTCTCACCGAACAAAACTATCGTAGGTTCTTTCCGAATGGCAGTACGCGATGCTAACCACTCGGCTACCGCGGTCGTCTAGTGTAATTAGTTATATATTAAAATTTAGTGAAATCAACACAGCTACGCCTTTGCATAGGCTCAGTAGAAAAGATCCGCCCCCTCCTTCACATCTTTCGTTTTTATGACTGAGTCTTAACCCTGCTCTCAGAACCAAGCAAAGTCTATGTATTGTCATCGAGGTAGTCCTACAGATGTTCTGGTGAAGAGGCATATTAGAATGTGTTTTAGCAGGCATACAAACACTAGCTTCCAAGCAAGAATGAAAAAATCTCGGATTTCAAGCGCATTACAGCTCGGAATATCAACCTTTCCGAGTATACTTCCATTTCCGTCTTTGGAAGCGTCTTAGAAAAAAAAGAAATTCTTCAAATTGTTGGAAGAAACACGTACATCACATCCTTCTTTCAAGGAGCTCAGCCCTCCATCGCTCCAATTTCATTTATATATACATATAACTACTATATGAGGAAAAGAGGTAGTAAAATGTCCACTGCATTTGAAAGATGAGGTGAAGATGGAGCTGACTTTATTTGGTGTCTTTAATAAAGACAGAATAAGGTAGAATTGATGGACTTCTTGATAAAATAATATTCTTCTGAAGTACAGTGCCATGCGCCGAAAATATCCCAAAATCATACTCGGAAGTAAGTAAGACTAAGTGATTTCAACGAGGGAATCTAAGGGACAACAAATTGTGTAGCGGCCCAAGAAAAGGCGTGTTTTATAATTTGAGGGAAGCAGCCAATCAATGTGCAACGTTAACTCCTTATATATATACCTGGAGGTTGCCCGCGGCATCGTCCGCATTTAATTCTAAGTTTTTACGTTGTTTCTTTTATAATAACTTATAAACTACGATGTTCAATTATATGAGAAAGAAAGAAAAGCTTTCCATATATCACTCTTGGCAAGGGGCTATATTGATATCAATATCCACTATTAACCTTGGCAAGGATCCACCTACGTAAGTTCCACATAACAAGTAAAACCGAACCATCGAATCGGTCCGAGGACCACTTTCCGAAAAAAAAGCGTTCACCTTGTCAATTCAAGCAAAGAGTTATCTGTATACCACATTTCAAGTAAATCAAACGATTTAAAAATAAGCTCGATTTTTTCAAATCGATCGGCCCTATGTCCACCTCTCGGAAAATCCTTTTTTACGCAGTACAAACCCTCCAAGTTTCAAGTCTCTAGCCTTTCATGTATGAAGATGAGTGCTTTGTAACCACTGTAGCGATTTTCGGTCGAGCTCTTTCTCCAATTTTCGATTTGCAACTTGGTGTTTTCCTACAAATGGTGGAGCCTAAAGTCCATACTAAACTGTCTCCGAACGGCTGATGGCTTTTTATGGATATATTTTATTTCATGTCTGTAATACACTCGGAGAGGTTTATACTCCCTGCTGGGAGGCGATCGCAGTTGAAAACTTAGTCTAATGGGCCGAGGATCTAACACGATTATCGCGGCCGCGGTATATCAGTTGGATATACTCTGGATCCTACTTGACTTGTTTGAGAATGTCATTCAACTTTGCCGTGAAACTTTTCCAACTAAGATGCGAAAAAATTGAGTTGAAAATACTTTAATAAAAACGATTATGGATTTGTTATGGTCCCCTCGAACTTTTCCCGAAGTTTATTTTGAAAATATGTACTTTGTAGTATGGAAGCCAAGGAAGGTCGACGTCGACCCGCATTTATTTATAGACTTTAAGTGAAGATTTGTTGGCTAGATTCAGAACATATCGGATAACGTGTTCTGACTCATTTTAAATCATTCTCGAATGAATGGTAGCCAAGATTTTCTACACTTCAATAGTTCCAGATTCTGTTAACCATTATTTATTATGGTCATTATTTACTATATTAATTTCATTTTTCTACATAAATGTGCGTAATATGACAATCGAAAGCATTTATTTGGACGTTAATTTTTTATTTGCAAAATTAGATAAGCGCCGAACATATGTATATACATATATATGTATAAATATTTATGTTAAACAATCTGCAATTAATTTTGTTCTTGTTGATAGAAAAAAAAAGTCTACCAGATACTCTTTAACTTTTACGCTGCACTTTGTCCCAACAGCCGTCTGAGCGTTGACACGCCTCTCTCCGAAACCATAAAAAATGTAAACAACAAATTAGCAAAAAAAAAAAACAAGAAGGAAGAACTGTCTTCGGTCAGGCCAAAGTCTTTATACCTTTCATGACCATATTAAAATTGAGGTATTTTAATTTAAGCAGCCGCGGTAGCCGAGTGGTTAGCATTGCGTACTGCCATTCGTGTTCAAAACTTCGTGCGACCAGAAGTTATGGAAAACTAATTTAAATCAAAAATTAAATTAAATTTTCTAATAAAAGCAGGGAATGTTTACCGCTCAGACTGTATTACTGACATGAAATAAAGCTCCTCATAAGAAAACCATCAGCCGTTCAGAGGCGGCTTAGTATAAATTGTAGGTCCATTCATTTGTTGGAAAAACATCAAAACTCAAAACCACAAATTGGGGGAGGAGCTCGGCCGAAAATCGCTTCAGTACCTAATTATATATTATATTTTAATTTAAGATTATAAATTGATCTTCATATCTGTAAGATTCTGTGTAGAGTATTTAATATCAAGGTTGTAGATTAACAGATTTTTGACCTAAAACCTGAAGAAATTGGTTGTATGGGAGATTTCAATGATTTGCGGTGTGAATACTTATTTGTAGAAACAAAAGTATAATACCAAATTTGATAGCCTTAAACGGAGTTTTGACCAAAGCTTCTTATCTTCAAAAAATCAATGCATGGGAGCTAGATGTTACAGTACGATTTCGCTGATTTTCGGCACTAATGTGTAATCCATGAAATTCATCATCAATGATGTATTGATAAATTTGTGGACCAAAGTAACGAATCTGATCGAATTGGACGGTATATATGCTATAGCGGCTATTCTAAAAATTATCATATAAATGTACCAATGCATTTCTGTACCAGTTTTAATGTATATATCCCTAAAAGTGAGGACTAGTTTGCGTACGAACAGACGTACGTATAAGTTCTGACCCGATCGGTACAAATAATGAAGGGTTTATCTCTTCTCCTGATCTACATACCACTTCAAGTACATAAAAGGTATAACAACAAAACATTTGCGGCATTAAAATTGAGTGTGAGAGAGTGAAGAGAGAGAAGCTAGCGCTTGAATCCCCCATGAATTGGGGCAATTGGAAATTGTTTAACTGACAGTAGTTGATCGCGGAAGGCCAAAAGATTGTGTTTTACTTACAAAGAGTCGGATGAGTCGCTGAACACACAAATAAATATTCTATTTACTAATGTGCGTAGTGATAACTTTATATGGGATGACATATATTTATAATATTTAACTACACATTTGTGCGATACCGTGATTTTTAATATAAATTTTTTTTTTTTTGGGAAATAACCACTATTTCTTCGCATTTCAGTGCCATTAGGACTGGGTCCAAAGGTGAAAATGTCGCTGAAATATTACTATGATTTAATGTCGCAGCCATCGCGTGCGCTTCATATCATTCTCAAGATGAGCAATGTGCAATTTGAAGATTGTCCAGTTGCGCTGCGTAAAGGTAGGTGGGAAGTGTCATTAGTATAATGCTATAACATTATATATTGTATAAGCTGGTCCGACCAACATCCAAAAACTATAAGTAGTTAATTTAAATAAAATATTAATTTAAATTTTCTAATTGCGGTCGCTCCACGGCAGGGATTGTCAAGCACTTCGAGTGTATTTCTGATATGAAATTAGGGCTCCTCATAAAAAAATCATCATCCATTTGTTGGAAAAACACCATCGCTTCAGCGGTTACAAAGAGCCAATTATATATGTATATTTATATACGAGTATATTGCGTTAGCTTAGTAGATAAAAGTTGTTGTAGTAGCGATATTAATCAATGGTTATCAGGCAATCAAAGATAAAGCACAAAATTTCTATCGAGAACATGGTCTCTATGTACCCAAGTACATACAGGTGTTTTGAAAAAGCGTATTTCTTGGTTTTTTAAACTCTTCAATCGCCATTACCACCTTAAATCCTGTCATGAATTGAGCTGCTGAAAGCTATTTAGTGTGTTAATGCTTCGACAGCTTCAACGCCGGCGATTTCCTTTCTAGCCTCAAAGGGTGCTTAGAGTAGAGTCAAAGTTGGAACATTCTACCATGTTAGGATTGGCAGAAGGCATCACTTAACATATTTCATATGGTACTATTTTAGTTGATCCAAAGACAAGACAGGTGAGTTAAGGCAAAAGGAATTAAGATTCATATATCTACAGTATGGAAGCCTTGTACAGAGTATATAAGTGGTAATCAAAGTATTTAACAGTTTTTGGGTAGATCCAAGAAAAAACCAGTAGCCACAAACTCTTTTTACCGATTGGCGTCGGATATTCACCTGATCTTTCCAACGGAATGGAGATCTTACTCTTCCTCTGCTTTCAGCACCCGGTACTCCATCGTAAACTTTCAGAGCTGGAGTGTTCTCATCCTATTTCTTGATCCCCTGAACGGATGTGGTAATCGTTAATTCCTCCACACCATTTAGCAGGACGGGAGAGAAGAAAAGCTTGTAGAGTGTGGATTTTGGTCGTCGAGAGAGGACTTTATTTTTCAGTTACCTACTCAGTCCAAAGTAACACTTCAATGCTGACATTGTCTTTGGTGTTGATGCTTTTTTCTAGTCAATATCAATCAGCAATAGTTGGCGTTCTAGTTCTGCAGCTCGTTTTATTTACACCAGCATTAAGTTAAAGAAGGCACACGATAAATACTTGTGCGAAAACTCGCTTAGTAACGAACGGCTCGGAGTGGTCCTTTCCAAAGACTATCTGTCAGTATTGTTCCATTGCTAGATCGTAGGTTCGAGCTATGATCAGCTGAAGAGGACGAACAAAGAGTAAAATCTTCTAATAAAAGTTTATAAGTGTTTCGGAGACGGTTTAAGACTGTATGATCCTTCATTTGTAGGAAAAAATAACAAGATTAAAGATTATATACCATTATATATATAGTTACAAAGTTTAACTAATAAATATTTTTCCTTACACCGCAGGAGAGCACATGACTGAAGAATTCAAGCAAAATGTCAATCGATTCCAGCGTGTACCCTGTATCATTGATGATGGTCTGAAGCTGGCCGAAAGTATAGCCATACTTAGGTAAATGAAAGAAGGTTCTTAAGTAACGAATAAGAAATGTTTGTCAAGCCATACTTGGACTTCCATCGGTTTTATTTCAAATTAGGGTAGTCCGGACTTCCGGAAACAAAGTAAGTCTTGTCCACGTTTGGGGGAATGGTTTGAATATTTATCAGTAAATTCACTGGCGAGCCAGAATTAGAAAGTTCATTATATGATTTTGTTCGTTTACCTTTGTACGTCTTCAAGTATTTGTGCCGCGTGAAGGTTGGAAAAGATCGGTTGCCACGTTTAATTGTCTTTTTTATAAAAAATTTCCTAACCCAGTCGCAGAAATCAGACCAAGAAGCATGTACCAAGATTTATTAAGGTTTCTCAACATTTGTTCGACTTGTCGTTGATATGAGCGAACGTCTAGACAGACAGACAAAGACAGAAAGACTCATCCAGTCATTCTATCTCCATGATTGTATGGTGTGGTGTTAATAGGATCAATATACTTTATTTTATAATATCTAAAAAAAAAATCTATGATATTTTCAGATATCTCAGCGCAAAGGGTAAAATTCCTGAATATCTTTACCCTAAATATTTCCTAGAGCAAGCGCGTGTCGATGAGTTTCTTGAATGGCAACACATTACGCTGCGCATCACCTGCTCAATTTACTTCCGCAGCATTTGGCTGGATCCACTGCTTACCGGCGTGAGACCGAGCAATGAGAAAATTGAAAAACTTAAAAATCTAATGGAAGCCAATTTGGATATTATCGAAAATATTTGGTTGCAGAAAACAGACTTTCTAACGGGGCAACGACTAACGGTGGCCGATATCTTCGCGGCGTGTGAAATTGAACAAACGAGTAAGTATAAGAGTAAAAATAAAGGGGTTTTCAACAAGAGCTGTTATTTCGACGCATTGAAATGATAAAAATTCACTATAAAAGTTTAATCGAAAAATCATTTCGACATATGAGGGCCATTTCCAACTCGGCCGTTATTTCAAAAAGCAAAACTGTCGCATCGTAATCGCATGGAAGCCCAAGATTTATTCTTGAAAAGCCCCTTCATTGTCAATGTAATGTAACTGTTAGGTGCGGTTTATAGTTCGGCGGGATCATTGGAATTTACTTTTTCGAAAATGAATGGATTACGCTATCGGCATATGTTTTATGATTTTTTTTCGCTGGAATTGGATGGTATTGATCTTTCAACAAGGCAAAGTTTCTTTGAATATCCAAATAACACCTCTTATTGGAAAACCCTTAATACGAAGAAAATCCAAATATTTTCTGTAAATTTGATGACATTTAGAAATTCTAATATTATTTATAAAAAAATTAGGTTTGTAACAAACGGCTTTCTTTTTATAGGACTCGCTGATTATGATGTGCGTATCAAGTATCCAAAAATCAAAGCCTGGTTAAAACGAGTGCGCGCCGGCTGCAATCCGCACTATGATAATGCGCATACATATATTTATAAAATCAGCGGCACTGCCCCTAATGCAAAGCTATAGGTTTAATTTTTTTAATTTTTACTTTTTTGTTATCGTTTTCGTAATCAAATATAAAAGTGAAAATTAATTTATTAAACAATTATGCACAACTATTTTGCAGATTAAAGCAAATTCAAACATTTAAAAATAATTTAAAATAATTAAATTGAAATAAAAAAAAATGTGATATAAGCTAAAGTAATTGAAAATATAAATAAAATCTTAAAAAAAAATTAAAATAAAACGTTAAAAAAAATTAGATAAATTTTTAAAAAAAAAATTAACATACTTAAAAAACAAAATAAATGAATATAAAATAAAGTTGATTAAAACAAAATAAATTGGAAAAATATCAAAATTAAATTAAAAGTTATGAAAATTAAAATTAAAAAAAAAGTAAATCGTTTAAAAATAAAATAAATGGTTGAAATGCAGCAAAAAATTAAAAAATTTTGTAAATTCAATTAAAATTAGATATTTTGAAAATTTAAATCAAAGAATTGATACCCAATAAAATAAAACGAAACACAGCAAAATGAAATAATTTAAAATAAAACCAAAAACTAATAAAAAAAATAATAGTTTCTAATAATTTGTTTTTATTTCAATATAAAATATAAAATATATTTAAATAAAAACAAATTAAATTAACTAAAAAAACACAAAAAAGCTAAAATAATTTAAAATATTATATGATAAAAAAATATGGAAATATAAAAGAATTAAATAAAATTGGTCAAAATAAATTAAGATAAAAGAAAAAATATAATATAAAATATAAATTCAAATTAACTAGATAATACGCATATATTGGATGAGTGCATAAGTTCGTGCCCGATTTCAAGTGCAAACTAAAATTGAAATTTTTTGAAGAAAGCGCTTTTATTCGTACATAGTCATCAAGCTCAGAAGGCCGTCCACTGTGAGGTTGATCTTCCAGAACAAAATTTCGCGAACCATTACTGTGCGGAGTGCTGGAGCACGGTCCAAATAAACTTCGCGAATATCTTTAGTTGCAGCGCCTACTGTTTTTCCTTTGCGGAATTCGTATACCATAATATGACGCATATGATCTTTTTCGTTGTCCATCTTCCACGCGTCTTTTCACTAAGTAACTCAAATCAAAATGAAATTATTTTATGCTTGATTTACATTTCGGACTGTCACCTTTCCAACGATATATAATATGTATATATTTCTTTCACGAGCGCTACTCTCAAACGATTCGAACGGCATCCAGCGGAATCGGGCACGAACTTATGCACTAATCAATACTAATTGAAAAAAAAGAAATTAAAACATAATAAAACGATAATAAAAAACAAATAAAAAGGGTGGGGGGGGACATTTTTTCGATACAAGGACCGTGACAACAACATCGCCTACACTTAGCTCAGAAATAAAACAAATTCAATTATTTCACTTTTAAATTTGTAATCTCTTGTTTATTTACTCTTGATAATATTGATGCGTGTATGTTTGTGTGAGTGTGTATTTGAATATGCATTCATAAGTATATAAATTATCCACAGCATTTCTTCATGTACTTTGCTTTCGTTTTTGTGTATTTATGCATTTTGTTTACTTTCTTTTTTCGTTTTTACTTTTCCATTTATACTTTTTTTTTCTTAATATGTATGTGATTCAATATATGCAGTTGTATATATGTATAAGTTATTACACAAAAAATAAATCCATACATTTATAGGTAAATAGGTAGGTAAATATAGCTTGCGATTTTTTTCTTGTATATATGTATACATTTTTTCACAAAATATGTATATGTGGTTCAATTCTGTGTAGGTGTTTGTGTATATACGCGTATATCGAGCTACATATGTATAATTTCTACTGTGTTCCACGTTTTTAACGTCTTCAACTCCCAAAAAAAAAATATTTAAATTTCAATACAAACATTTCAAAAAATCGTGTAATAAGGTTAGCGTAGGGCACAAAATGTTTCAAGATAAATACGTAGCACTTATCATCTAACCGTATAATTCCCAAAACTAACTTGAACTTTCCCGCGTACAAGCCACTGTAGCTACCATTCTCTGTCTCACTCACACTTATTTACCGTAGCTTTTCTTATTTAGCGCATTTGTTAAATATAAAAAATAAAGTAGAAATAATTTAAACAACATACATATGTATATTTAATAAAAAATAATTCTCGTTTTTTTTTTGTTTTCACCAAACATAAATTTTGGCTTGTAAATACAACTTAAGTTTTTATTTATTTATTTATAAGCAAATAACAGACGAGTAAAATTAAACGCACATAAATCATAATAATCAAAATAATATTTATATATTATATATTTATATAATTACAATACAATGTAAATAGTTCTTTTTGTTTAATACAAACACAATTATTATCGAATATAAATAATAATAATGTTACATACATATACACATACATACGTACAAGTGGAGTTTCTCTTTTGGGGAGGGGGAGAGTAATTCGTAAATGATAATATTTAATAATAATAATATTACTAATGTAAAAACAATTAAATAATTTTATTTTGTTTTTATTACATACAATTTAAATTAATTTCATAATTTTTTGTTTTAATTTTCCCTTTTGAAATCATAATAATTTTTCCCTATAAAATACCAACAAATTTATATTTTTTCAATTACTTTAAATTTCAAATATAAGGTTTCTTCTATGGGTTAAAGCGCCGCTGTACAAAATCTTATAAAATTTTAGCTTTACAATCAAATAACATGACAATTTTGCCATAAAAATACAAATTAACGGGCATTTGCTTTTTTTATTATTACACAATTTTCTTAATTTATGCATGCGTGTGTGAGGAAGCTATTTTATTTTTAAATAAAAATTAGAAAATTATATTAAATACACGTTTTTGTTTTCAATTTTATATATATCCAAAATACAACAATATCGATCGAAAGAAAAAAGTATGAAAAACTATTTAATATTTAATTTAATAACAATAAAAATCGAAATTAGGAAAATTTACACGTATATAACAACAAAAGTCGCGCTAAAAACACTTGCCGTCGCAATATTTCACATTACACACCAGTCATACCTATATAAGCTCCTTTATTGGGTTTCGAAAAAATACATATCAGAAAATATCTATATTTGTGGGTTTGCACATTTATTTTTGCAAGTTCTATAATGAAATTGGAATGACACAAAGGATTCAGGAGAAAAGCTAAATTAAAAAAACGCCGTTTAGTGCATTTTGATGCGTTGATTTAGATCACATTAGTTGCTTCAGGATATTAATGTTAGGGAAAAGGTAAAAACAGATATTATAAATGAAATTCATTCTTATAGGAACATTGAAAAAAGGGAAGAGCAATGTGAAAATGTTAAAATAATAAAAACAAAACGTGTTGACATCTAATGATGCCTTAAAATTTTTGTCGCTAGTCTGTTTAAAGTTCAAATTTGTGTAATAAGGAAGAGAAAGGGTTATTTTTGAATAAGCTGAATATTTTATGACATTCCAATTTCACTAAAATGAACACTCTGCTTCAATCTCAGTTGTTCTTTTAATATAATTTTACTTTTCTTGTATATACATTTTTTATTTGATAAAATATCTTATTTTTTTTTTTATGTGTACTTTTCTTTTGTAACTCTTTTTGCTGCCGCAAAATTTAGCTTTGCTTGTGTTAGGCGTTTGGGAGGTGGTGTTTTATCTTTTAGTTTAGTGCGTTTACATACATTTAATAAATAACTACATACTTTTTAATAATTTATAACTTTTTCTGTAAGACATTCATGCTATGTTTGGTAGCAGAAGGGCGCTAAGGTGGTGACTTTTGCATTTAAATAATTTTTATGCGCAATTTTGGATTCGGATTAAACTTTTTTATATAGATGTGTTTCAGTTATTTCTTAATTAAAAATTCGCTAAGAATTGTTTATTTAAAAAAGAAAAATTATTTGGAGTCGTTCGGGTCTAGATTAGTAGCAAAAGTAGTTTTTAAAATTTCTGCCTTCAACAAAAGCATTTTTTTATGTCTCTTAAGGAAAGACTAAGATTTTTATTCTTAAATAAAAAAAAACATGCAAATTGTAAGTAAAAACTGCTTACAAAAATTACTTCTTAAATTTGTGTGGAAATTTGAAATTTTATGTGCTGACGTTACAATACTACAATATTAATATCCACAATGGCTCAAAGAACTATATTTTTTATTATTGAATGATATATTTTTTTAGTTTTCCTGAATTTCAAAAAAGCAACAATGTACTCAATTTCATAAGATATTTGTAAGATATCAAAATAACTTTTTACTAATTTACTTTTTCGAATACCAAAAAATTATAACTTCTCAGTAAATAGTTGAAAAATAGCAAACATCAAAACCACTACTATTTAGGTACAGTAAATGAAATGTAAAAAAAAAACCTTCACCACACACAGCATGAATATCTTCGTGTTTTTCATCATTGTTGTTTTGCGCTGTTTATTTTTATTTAAATTTCTTTTATGCTATAATTTCTTTGCTTGCTAATACTAGGATCTTTTAATTTTTTACACACATACATTTAAATGAACGCTGTTGACTTTTTATATTTGTATTTGTATTTTTTTTTTTAACTTAGTAACTAATTGGTGTTTTATCTTATTTATCATTTGCTTGCAATTACTTGCAAAACGCTTCACACTGCCGTTTCCACGTTTTATTTTTATCATCCTCCCCACCTTTAATATCGACTTCTGTTGATATTCTTAATGCGTATGCCCACTTCCAGCACATGTTCGCTGCCTGCGCCACTAGCCATAGACACTGTTGCACTGTTGCCAGAAATATCGCCACCACCCGCGCCGTTGACACCAACAGTGCCACTGCCACTGCCGTCACCACTGCCACTAACGACACCTCTATTACCATTGTTGCCATCTTGCATTAGATTGGTATTGATATTATTATTGTTGTTGCTGATGTTACCATTAGCGCTGGGTATCGGAATGCGTCGTAGCACGGTTGTAGTGGTTGTTGTAGTACCACCCGAACCAGTTGTCACCTTACATGTGTGTTGATGATTGCAATTGTTGCTATTCGCTGGCGGACAGCCATTTGGTCCGACATAGTCATGTGGACCACCTACCGTGTGTCGTCGTTTAATCGAACGATTCTGTTTATTTTGTATTTGTCGCTTTTTCGTTAAATTCATATCAGTCTTTTCATCTTTAGTCAATGCTGATGCAGAACCGCCACCGCCGCCACTGCTGGTTATGTGATGGCTGCCACTATGCCTGCCCGAAGACGACGAATAATTGCGGCTATTGAACGAAGCCGAACGGAAGAGTCGATGGTCACGACGTTTCTTATTGTAGCGATCTAGAAAAAACGGCGGTGATGCTATGATAAGCGAATCCTTTGGATCGCTCGTTGTTGAACCCTCTGAGTCATCGTCCGAGCAACATTGCTGTTCATATGAGTGCTTGAAAAAGCGTGTGCCACGCCCCAAATAGGAATTACGTGCTGAGTTACAACCGCCAACGCCGCTGCCAACACCTCCACTACCGGTGCCGCTGCCTTGTGTGTTTGTTGTTTTTACTGTTAGAATGGCAGTCGGAGTCGACGCTGCAGTCGAGGGTGTACTACCACTAGCCACTATTGTTGTTGTCGAACCGGAATTGATGGGCACGGTGGCCGAATGTTGCAGCTTGTTGTTTTTGTATGCAGACAATACCGCTGCCACCCGCTGTTCTTTGCTCTCATTCCTCTTCGCCGAGGCGATGGTGTTAGTGGCTGTACAGGAACGACTTAGCATCAATACATTCGGCGCGTCTAGAGGTGAGGAATGAAAATGACGCTCCGGTGACTCATCGGCATAGGGAATGTTTTCTGAATGCAAGTGCAACGGCTGACCCAGCGTGTGCCGCCGATTTTTGCGGAATTCCGGCGAGCCATTCTCATCGTTCGATTCGGAGCCGCTCCGCAAGTTGCGCAATTTAGAGTCCAACGTGTCGGTGATGGTGGTCAGAGACATGGAACCTAAAGAAAGGGTATACAATTGTGCATTGTTATCTTATGTTAGTTCAAACCAATTTGACGTGGCCTACTTACCCGTGTCACTTCGGCTATTGCTCGAGTCATCATCGGTCAACAGCACCGAAATGTCGACACTGCTGCGCTGCTGCTCCTTACTCATGCTGCCGCCACTGCCACTACCCGAACCGCTGCAACTGCCCGAGTCCTTCTCATCCAAACTAGCCTTTCGATGGTGGAGGCGCACAAAACCACCACCGCCATGATTAATTAGGAAACCTCGCTCCTTCTTCGTCTTCTGCATGGTGGACGTGAGACTGCTGCCGCCACTACCACTACTCGATGAAGCGGTAGTAGCATTGGTCGAACTGCTACTCGTGGTCATCGCTGTCGTAACTGATTTGGTTGAATCCAATGACTGAAATTGTACACGTAATGTTAACCCAATGTCACATATAGTAGGCACGGCTTTGCGACGCCGCTGCTGCAGCTGCTGCTTTTGCATTTGCAATATTTGCGGCGGCTGCGGCAGCTGCTGTGGCGACCGGCTTGCCAATGCGCATGAAGGCATTTTGGATGGTGGCTTGGTAGCCGGTGTGGCTGCCGCCACGCATATATTGGGTGTGGATTGTGTGGTTGTGTTGTTTTTGTTGTTGTTGTTCTTGGAATTAGTGCTAATAGTAGCATTACACTTGAGTAGTGCGTTGTGCATGTTGTGTGGTGCGGAAATGAGTTTAGTAAAGGTTTGATTGAGGTTGATGGATGATTGCAATGATTTGCGTTTATGTTTATTTGTATTTGTATTTTGATTATGATTATGATTATTCGAGCTCAGATAGGTATTATGGCTCTGATTCAAATTTTGTATATCGCTTACCAACACACTTTCGCCCGAATATGTGTCCGAACTGGCGGCACCACGCTTGCTATGGGTACGCCTTCGCAGCTGTGGTATGAAGCGGGATGTGCGTGTGCTGGTGGTGGACTCACGCTCGGTGAGACGTTCGATTTTCGATACATTGTGCAGCAACATATTCGTCTGATCCTCTTGGGTGTGTAGAGCGCCGGAGGCTGAACTAGAGGTGGTCGCTATGGGCGTATTGCCAGTGACGTCCGCCAAATCTGGCAGGGGTCCATTCTCAAAAAAGTACTCATACTGCAAGAAAAAAAATTACGAAATTATTAGTTTATTTTACACCAGCGTGCCGAAACATAACACCCTTCAAATCTCCTCACCTGCGTCACGAGCAGCTCGACAATGCGACACTGATGCTTCATATCCTTCACGGCTATCTCAAGCGTATCATTTGGTGTACGTATAATCGATGGTCCAAAGATTATAGCCAAATTTTTCGGCTCCATCAAATTTACATCACAATTTTTGCTCACACGACTCAAGTGCCGTATCAAATGTTTCAAAGTTTCGTATGAGTAACGCGGTAGTGAGTTCAGCAGCTCTCTTAGTTCTTTTAAACGTTCCAAGCCCGTCTTCTTATCAGCTTCAATGAAATTTATATAGAAGGAACATGGGAGCAATGCATCAGGCAGATTGCGTATGTATTGCTTTAGCAAACTCGACACGACATTCACATCTTCCCACCTTACATCGGTGCCGCAGCGATCCCAAGAAAAATCTGCTTTATTCACTTGCTCCGACAGCTCCGAGATGGCCGCCTTATTGCCAGGAATACGATAAATGCCAACTATGCCGAGTCCTTTTGTTTCGACAATATTTGTGCAGACATCCACTAACAGCGGCACATATTCGTTGTTTTTGGACTGAAAATTAACAGCAGATGTTTGTAGAAACAAAGCTCTTTATCATGTAGATATATATCAAAAAGTAAAATTGCGAACTCACCATTGGGCATAATTTCAAGGGCACTCCAATAGAACCGGTCGTCTTGCCGCCCGAAGCTAAACTTGATGGTGAGATGTCCGCGTTGTGGCTACTACTACTACTGCCACCGCCGCGTCTAAAGAGTAAATCTTTCCAATTTTTGGCTTTTGGTGAACCTAAATCTTTGTCGGGTATATTTTTGTGTGAAGATGATTTGCGCGTTTTCATCACAGGCGAAATGGAGTCGGAAATGATTTCAGAATCGCCACCACCGCGTGAAGTTGTGCTTAATGGGGAATACTCTGCTTGTAATTGTTGGTGTGGATGTAAATGTGGTTGTACGTTATCATCACAGTATGTTGCTGTTGGCATGCTAGAGATAGCCGCGGTTTTCTGCGGCTCAGCCAATTGCCTGCCTTGAAGATCCTACGCAATGAAAGGTATATGTTGAGCAAAAATGTGAAATAAAGAGCAAATTATATATATTTTAAGTTTACTTACACTATCGTCGTAAATTAGACTATTTTTCCATTGCAATAAACCGAAAATGCGTTTCATTTCCGTCATGCTTTTCGTTTTAAATAATATTTCAGTTGGTTGCTGATTTGGCTGGTGATGTTGCGGTGGCTCCATATGTGACGCTGTCGTCGAAGCACTACTACCCGATGAGGTCAGCTTATCTGGCACGTCATCCAGGTTTAGTTCGTTGCCCAAAGTGGCGATTTGTGTTGGTTTCGATTGCATGCGAAACATATAGCATTTCTTTTTATCAACTGATTCATCGAAAATTTTGAAATTTCTAATATCGAGTTCTATCATCTGTTTGGAGAAAGGATGAATTAGTGCGTTTATTAAAAAAAAAATTAATAATGTTTCTCTTACATTGCTCTCCTTACAACTGCGACCAGGATAAATGCGTAGATTGTCGCCTTTGATTTCGATTTTCACTTGCCGCCAAGAACGATAATCCGAAAGACGCTGAAAAACAAACGCAAATTGTAACTAAATGAGGTAAATATTTATAATGATAATGTTATAACATAATAAAACTATATATTATTAACTTAAAAAAAGCACGAAAAAAATAAATTGGGAACAATTAAAATTCAAAAATTTATATTAATTTCAATAAATCAAATAAAAAGAAAATAAGGGATAAATGAAATAAAACAGCATAAAACAAAACAAAAATAAAATAAGGCATAAAAAATTAATACAAGTATAATAAAATAATTAATTTGTTATATGAAATGAATGAAATGAAACTAAAATAATAAAAGATGAAATAACAGAATAAAATAAACTAAAAATAAATAAATTTAAAATAAAATCTATAGATAGATAATTTCAACTAAAATGAAAGAAGTGATATAAACAGTATAATAAAAATAATATAAAAGTAAGAATAAAAAATAAAGACAAAATAAAATATAATTAATATAAAAAATGAATAAAATAAAATGAAATAAAGTTATTAAAACAAAAAAAGATATATAAAACGAAAAAAAAAGAAAATAAAATAAAGTAAATAAATATAAAATAAGGCAAAATAAATTAAATTAATTTAAAGTAATTTTAATGAAATAAAATAATAATAATTTAAAACGAAGACAAATAAATTAAACCGAATAGGACAAATAACAAATACAAAAAATAGTATAAACAAAGTTAAAATTAATAGAAAGGTAAGGTAGTGTAAAAAAATATATATTAAATAAATGTTAAAAAAAGAAAAAAAATATAACCTAAAAAAAATAAAAATAAACGCATTAAAATATATCAAAGCAAAATTTATATTCAAAAATAAATACATAAAGTGACAAAATAAGATTACTTATATAAATTAAAATAAGACAAATGGAAACCAAAACTATAATGAAATAAAATGTAACTAACAAAAAAATTAAATATCCGAAAAACTAAATATCCGAAGTACCGAAATGTTAAAAGTAAAAAAATTTAAATAAAAGTAATGAATTATTACCGAATTACACAAACAAATTACACAACAACATTAAATAAAAAACAGCAAGATGTTGATGAGAGAGAGACTTGAATATAAGATAAAATTAAGATACGATGAGTATAAAACGAAAACTATTGTAGTGAAATACATCTAATTAAAAGCTGAAAACTTAAATTAATAAAGAAAATATAATGAAGACACTTAATAACATATAAAATGAGATTCAAAGTAATTTTGAATTAAGAAAAGCAAATGCTTATAAAAAATAATAGCGAAAACAAACAAAAAATAACAATAATACACCAAAAATAAATAACCCACATTAAAATTCCCCACACATACCTTTCCGTTGATGCATGACGACTTAATCTCCATTTCAGTTTCGAACACTTCCATTTCGGTAGCCACATCCTTTGTCTCCAATTTGCCATTTATGTCTGCGATTACATCGTCAATGTGAACGCTGTGCGAATATGTAAGTAATAAAATTAAACATTAAATGGCACTTGCTCTGCGGTTGATTGTAAACACTTATTATTAATATTTTTTTTTTAACTTTTCACGCATTAAGTAATTAGTAAATCAATCACAGCAATACCAACAACAATAACCAACTTTACCAGCTGGCACGCATCATTTAATATATACACACCTATTTCGTATTTCACTATTCACCGATTCGCGTCTACTTTCACTTAAAGCCGCCGCTGCACCACCACCAACACCTGCGGCCGTCACCGCCGCCACAATGGCAGCCTCGGCAGTGACACTCGCTCTATCTTTCAAATGCTGTTGCTGTTGCTCCGCCAAATGCTCTTGGGCTGTTGCCGCCATCAATTCGGCTGCTGTTTGTCTCACTGTCACACACTCATCGCCAGCCACCACGTCATAAGTAGGATCGTCCGCATCAGCAGCATCATCATCGAATGATGACGGTTTCGATGTCACCTCAATGAGTGGCGGTGGTGCACCAATACCCACTCCACTGCTATTCAAACCCGTCAACGATGTAGAGGATGTATCCGATGCGGAGTAGTCCGCTTCATTGTTGGTGGCGCGTAGATATGAAATACGACGCATGGGTTTGCTGCTATCGTCGAAGGAAGAGCACATTGGCTTAAAACGGCGCACCACAGCAGCTGTTGCAGGCACAACAGCATTACCACTGCTATCGGTAGCGCCAACAGTTGCAGCCACTGTTTTTCATAGAAAGATAAGACAAATACGAATTGCGGTTAAATGAAAATTATAAAGATGAAAAAGAAAAGAAAAAATCCAAAAAGAAAGAAGAAAACGGAAATGAATTTGATTGCTTGTAGCAGGTTTTCCAGCCAACGCAAGCAACTATGCGAGCGGCAGCGATGACTGGAGAGTTGCTAGCAGCAGACAGAGAGGTGGCTTAGAGCGAACAAGATATGAGCGACTTACCTTGACTGCCTGCTAGCGGTGCCTCATTGCTTTCAGCGATATCAGTGAGTGCCGGTTTTGGTTCAGAAATCGCAGTCGCCGCTGCTGCTGCTGTTGATCCAAGCGCTTCCGGTACTTTGCTAGTATATTCTGTAAAAATAAGTTTAATAAAAAAAATGATGCAAAATATGAATTACAATATGAATTGTAGTAGTTTTTTCTTCCATTTTATAACGAGGCAAACGAGTTTGGCGTTAATACAGCGCCACGAATGTGCTTAAAAAAAAAACAATAGACAAACGATAAAGCAAACTAATTGGCGAAGTGTCAAGTTGGCTAAGATGTTAAAGTTGGCGAAAGAAACCATTATAAATAGATGTAAAGTGCACTAATCTAGGATTATGGTCACTTATTAATAGCTGAAGCAATAAAACATTTTTATTTTTTAGTTTAACGAAGTTTTAGTTCGCCGAGGTACAGCTTGTCTTCAATTTTGTATACTTTCTAAAAACTCTATTTCTCTTTTTTAGCATTTAAATACAAGAAATGAAACATACATAGACATACACATTACATCTATAATATATAAAACACCGTCAAACTTTGTGGGATTTATGCTGTTTTCCTCCCTACACTTAAATCCTCGTATCAAAATTAATATATTCACCATTTCATACTCATAAAAAAGCATAATGCGGCGATACTCACTACTAGTCGGCGCTTGATCGATCGTCGTCGTGGCCAAACTGGCCTTGTGTATCTCCATGCGGCTATATTGGGCACCGTCCACCACACTGCCGGTCGTATGCAGTTGTAGCTGTTGTTTTTGTTGTTGTTGCAGTTGATGCTGCACGATCACATTGCCGCTCGCATGCGCTTGTTGAGTCTGTTGTAATTGTTGCACTTGCAGCTGATGCAATGGATGATGTTGTAGAGACTCGTATAGCACTGTGGGTTTCTTTATCAACATTACATTGCCAGCTGCGTTGACCACTGTTGTTGCATTGGGATCCACGCTGGCGGCGTTGGTATTGATGGAGAGCGGTTGGAAGGGATCAAAGCCTTTAGCGAGATGTGAGACGAGTTTACGCTCGAAACTGCAATGAGAAAAGTAAAAAATATTTAGTATACGTTACATACAAATATATAAGAATACTGAAAAAAAAAAACAACTCACACTTTATTGGTGACACCCGTCTCCTGCAATGTTTCCAAATAATCCAAATCCTTTACATATTTGTCACCCACGCCATTGTTGTTAGTCGTTCTACTACTCAATGCGCTGCTGCCATTGCCTGATGCCCGTCGCAGTGCCGATGATTCAACACCACCAGAAATAGTGCGAGCACTGCTACTACCGCGACTCATGGAACTTCCCTCCATGCTAATATAATTACCAACAGCACTATTGCTGCTGCTGGCATTCGTGACGTGGTGCTTACCACCACCACCACCAGTGCTGCCCGTACTGTTCACACTGCCGTAATATTGATGCATTTCGATTGCACTGACATGCGTTGCTGGCAACAATTCGCGCGTACTCGACGCCGACGAGGATGTTGCGGAGAGTGGTTGTTTGACAAGTGTACGCACCTGACCACGCGCCGATGCCGGCCCGCTGCTGCTCAACACTGATGAACCGGCTGATGTTGATGTCGTCGACACCATAGACAACTGCGGGCTACCCGACGGCGGTGTGTGCGGCGGGAAGAAATGTTGTTGTGCTGCTGTTGTATGATGGCTCACAGCGGGTACACTGTGTAACGTGGCGTGTGTGTGTGGCAATGGTGATTTAAGGAATTCCTCTTTTTGCTTGATCGATTCACGTAGGCGTATCATCAATTCGCTGGTGTCAACGGCGCCGACACCCGTAGCCGGGGCATAGAAGGCGGAATTGGCTGCGGCTGCAGCCACTGCTGCAGCTGATTGTGTTTGGTACAGATGATGTTGTTGTTGTTGTCGGGATAATACTGTCAGATTGGGCGGTGGTTGGGAGCTGGAATACAATCAAAAAGGGGAAAAATATGAAATTAAAGTGAAAAATTGTAGAAAATTTTCATGAATATTTCGTGAAAATAATGAAAACGATATTTGAAAAGCGAATAATTCCATACTGAGTGAAATAAAGTATACTGTTGAGAGTAAAATGAGTATCGAGTGGGAAGAGGCTTCGGCGAAATGAGTGGAAAATCTAGCGAAGTCGGTGAACCGACGGAACATTTCAAGAAATCTTCGAAACGATAAGATATTTCGATGCTTTTAATCTTCTTTATTTCTATAACATCTCGAGAATGTTATCGTAAATTTTGAAGCTAGTCCGTAGAAAAATTTCCGAGATATGGCTTTGGAAAACAGCGCGTTCAAAGCCAGGTAGGTGCAGCTCTACAACTTTAAACCCGTTTTTCTTGAAATTGTATTCACAAAGTCGGTTGTCAACAGTTCTCGAAAACTACTCTGGATGGAATTTAACACAGTCTTCGAGATCAACACACGAGGAATTAGGGGATTTTTTTTATCACAACTATTTAAAAATCCAATTGTTATTTTCCTTCCATCAAATTCTAGTTTTTTTTACATTGAACTTATCAGAAATTCTCTTTCAGACGTATATTTTTAAGAGTGTTAGTAGTTTGAATAAAATAATTTAATATTTATACAAAAAGTTGCTGTACCGTATAAACCGAACCAAGAAACATTTTTTTCAACCCTTTGCGAATTAATTGATTCGCATTTATATGATACATAATACATGGTTTAGATGATAAAAGTAGCTTATAAAGGGTGATTTTTTAAGAGCTATAGGAAAGTTTTTCAAAAAAAAAAAAAAAAAAAAACCCATAAAATTTAGAAAAAAGCATGAATAGATAGCACGGTTTATATAATTTAATGGTTGAAGATTATTTCATGCAAATGTTGACCTGCGTTGTGACTGCGCCTCAAATAGTCCATCCGCCTAGTCGAATTTTGGCATACTCTCTCCAAGATATTGGCTGGTATCTCACGAAAAAATGCTTCAATGTTGTCCCTCAATGCATCAATTGAAGCGGGCCTTTCTGTATAGATATTAGATTTAACAAAAAATAGTCTAAAGGAGTTAGACGCACGATCTGGGTGGCCAATTGACCGGCCCCGAAAGTGTAATGAAATGTTCATCGAACTCGCCTCTCAATAAATCCATTGTTACGCGTGCTGTGTGGCATGTGGCACAGTCTTGTTGAAACCACATTTCATGCAAGTCAAGATCATGCATTCGCATCATCTTTGAAGTAGTACGGTCCAATTATGCCGCACAAAACTGTAACTTTTTCTGTATGCTTTGGTAGCTTAAGGTAAAAATGAGCTTCGAAGCAAGCGCGGAAGAAGCGCGCGATGAACTTCTTAACGGAGCACGCATTTTGATAATAAAATTCAATAATTTGCAGGCGTTCTTCGTTTGTAAGACGATTCTTGGTTAAATTATAGACCAAACTGAAGATGTTTGACAATGATACAAAACATGAAACCTGCGTCGGCTGTTTAAACCAGTGTTGCCAAAGAGATAATAGTTAAAAAAAAATCACCTTTTAGAAGAAAAGTTAATAGCTGTAGCTTCTTAAAAAACAAAAACAAAATTTTTGTAATTTTTATTTTTACGATTCAATTTTAAAGGATTTATTTACATTCCAAATTTAATTTTTCAAGGGCTCTATGAGTTTCGTTGCCTTGTTGTGTTATAAAAAAATCGATTTCACTCATGATTTTGCTCTTGAATAACAAAAAATTTGACGCTTATTTTAAATGCTTTTATAAAAACAATTAAAATGAAAAAATTTTCAAAAAAAAAATAAACTTTTATTATTTCATATTTTAAATTGTCTATAAATGACAGTATTTGTTAAACGAAATTCGTCTCATATAGTTATAACAATAAACTCTAAAATAAATTCGACTCAAAAATTAGCACTTGAAGCGATAAATTAGTACAAAAATGCTTCCGCCCAAAAATCCACTTGTAGCAGAGCATACATATTCATACATAAATACACACCTACGACACGGTGACTGACACATTCTGCAAAAACAACTTAAAACCGCATCCACGGGCCCCATCATAACATCGGTATGCAACAATGCCGCACTCACTGAACATTTAGTATGGCTCAGAGTAATATGAGCGCCTTGATGAGCGGCTGAGTGCTTGAGTGAGTGAGTAGAAGCGCGCAATGTAATAAATTTATATTGTCAAAGTCGATATTTTTATTTAATAAACAAAAACAACAATTTGCACTTTAATTACGTATGTATGTACGTGAATATTATTTTCATTGCGTCTGAGTTTTTTTTTACAACAAATTATTACATTCACTTGGTTTCGAGAGGAAATTCTAAAAACAAAACAAAGCACTGACAGGGTGTGGTTGTGCTATAAAAAGCTGTCGGACGATCGGTTGGTAATGAATGAAGTGCATGGATAATAATTAGTTATTTCTAATGCGCAAGATTGTAAGATACACAAGTTGAATTTAATATTATTTATAGAATTTAATAATTAACAGATAATTAGCACTTTTCATTTTATATTCTTTTCCCTCTTCACTTTTAGAACACTCCCACCAGAAACCACTTGATGAAAGTAAAGTAAAGTTTGTAAACACACAACAACAACAACTAAAACGTTGCTGCTGACAACACCATCGATCTCAGAAAATAAATACAACGGCAATAACTCATCAAACACTTGAACTGCCTGGACGAACTCAAATTTTGCAATGAATAAGTCAGTCTTTGCTTAATAAATTATTAACTACCGACCAACGTTATCCGGTCAACACATTTGACTAAATTATTTGACGTGAAAGTAGACTGATGTGGCGAGCGCGCGCTAGCTGGCGATTCAACGAGCGAATACTAGAAATTCAAATATAATAAAATTGACAACGCGTCAACTTAATTTGACGCGTATTTAATAATCTTGGATGTGAAGTGTGTGCTATTGTTGTTGGCAGGCAAAAAAATACGCAAATCAATGCGTAGTTGCTGCGGAGGATAGCAATAGACCAACACGTAACGGCGACGGTAGCGACGGCGGCGGCGTCGGCTCGATCAATAATTTGTGTGACATTCCTGTACGGAATTCGGTAGCCTGAACGTCAAGCCAAACATCAAACTGGACTAGCGATGCGCACGAGCATGTGATGGGCACTGACAGGTAGACGGAGACAACCTTTAACGTATACGAACGCATTAACTTGCACGTAAAAGCAGCAGTCAACGGTCGCTCATAGGTACGGGAGCTCATAGCAAGCCCCAGCCATAATCCATTATTGTGCTGACGTATGAATATTGCTATGCGCTGCTGGCCAGCTAACCAAATGAAGCTCCCCACCTTTAAAGGCATTCGGTCGGTCGGAGCAGTGCTGACTGTTACGGCAAGCTATTGAAATCATGGTAAGGCCGCTGCACAGTCGGCGCAACTCCTTAAAGAGCACATGCGCGACATTCAGTCAGACAACCGCCACCCCCAAACCTATCGCACCCACAATGGCGTAGCGGCAGCAATGTCATCATTATGATATTGGTATATTTTAATAAGCGAAAATGTAAAATAAAAACAATAATAAAAAAGTGAAATATGAAAAAATATAATACATAATATATGTATATAAAATATAATACAAAATTCGAAACAGATAAATAAAAAATAAAATTCAAAAAAATAAATAAATAATTAAATTAAAAATAAGTAATGAAATTTAAAATAAAATTAATAAAATTTTTAAATAAAAATTAATAAGAACTAAAGACAAACAATAAAAATATAAGAAAATAAATTAAAAACAAATAAAATAAAAAAGAAGTAAAAAAAATAAAATTAAAAGCCATTAAATATAAAAAATCAAATTAAGAACACAAATCAAAAATAAAACTAAAAAAAAGTGAACAGAAATAAACAGCAATTAATTTAAATATTAAAATATTAAAAAAAAAATTATAAAATGTAACAAAAATTAAATATAAACAATAAAAAAAATTTAAATGGAAAAGAAGAAGAGCAATAACATCACTAATAAAGTTTGAAAATAAAAACTGTGAATAAAAATTTAACAATGAAAAAATTTAAAATTAATTAAATCAAAAATGGAAATATTTGAAATGGAAATATTTGAAATAGTAAAATTGAATTGATTGAATTGAACAAAGAACAAATACAACTACAAAGAAATATAGATAAAAATTGAAAGTATAAAACATAAACAATACATTTATAAATAATAAAATATTGGGAACTAGAAAAAAAATTAAAATAAATTGAAACAAAATAGTATAAAAGCAAAAAAATTAACATAAAATCAAAGATAAAAAAATTAAAATATTGTAAAAAAATTAACAAAATTTTAAAATTCAAAAAAAAAATTAAAAAGTTTGAAAAGGAAGTTTAAAAAATATAAATAAAAGCAAAAAAAATATTTCCCACAGCAAAACATTAAACTACAAAATACTCTTTTGAACACAAAAAGAAAAACTAAATATAATTCAAATAGAAACCACTTCCAATTACAAAAAATTAGGCGACTTGTCGAGCGTCCAACATTACACGCCGAGCTTTAGTTAGATTTAACTCTCTATAAACGTATGCCTTGGCTTATTTTTATGGCGAAGCAGCGCTTAGCTAGCGGCCAGTCATAAAATAAGGAACGCACGCCAATCGTTTTTGGTCTCGAGTTGTGTTTTTTTTTCAGTTCTGCTTTTCATATGCTATCTACATACATTAATTTTTCTCCGGCATTTTGAGTGCGCGCGCAATTGTATCTACGTTCATATGTATGTACATACATATGTGCGAGTAACATACAAATATCCGATTTTTTCCCCTTTCAATTCATGACAGTACGCTTGGAAGGAAAACAATGTGTCTCTGGAATTGGAGAATTGTGGCGCATAGTGACATACAAATAAAAATAAATATTAAATTAAACAGCACATTATTCAATTGACCTTGAGCAAGTTTAGTTTAAC